CTCCCTTTTATCACCAGTTATAATTATGTGTATATATAAAACCCATACTGAGATTAATTAACAGCAGGTGCAGCTATCTCAATACTTGAATTACCTCATTATGTTTGTTTTTCAGGTTATTTTTATATAAGTAAGACCTATACTGTGAAAGTACTACATAACTGCTATTATTGAAAAAAATAGCAGCTTCATAATTATCATCTACATCACTACCAGCTAAAATTTTATCACATGAAATGTTATAATTGTTATTCAAAAATATTTTTCGTGTGATTCAGATCCAATGGAAGAAATATTTGAATTGCACAATCTTCTCATTTTCAGTTTTTTCATGAATGAATAGAAGAAAATGTGCAAAACTACGAAGCGATACTTTAATTAGCCCTCGCATGCTCGCGTAGAAGTTAATTTCACCAATGCGTTTTACATATTTAGGTATTTTATTTATTTTGAAAACGGATGGCTTTTCTGATGAGCACCCGCATGCAATTCATTATCCTTATCAATTATTTCCAGATAATGTTGCACCAATTTTAACACACAGAGCTCTAAATAGAGCACGTGAATTGTTGCACAAAATTTTCTGCTATATTTCTGTTAACATTTATCTAAAACGCATTTAAAAGGTTTGCTTTAGAGAGTGTATTGAGCTAATTGATGCGGCAGGTCTGTCATGGAGACCTGCCAGCTATTCACCCAAGAACGAGATAAATGCGGCTAAATTATTTAAGGAAGGTCAGGGTTCTGCTTTTTCATGGCCACAGTACTATTTATATATAGTTCGAATAACATATCTTGACTTAAACATCTTAGTGAAATATAAAGCAAAGTGTTTATTAAATGTTCTATAAATATTTACTTACAAATTACTTATAAGCATCATCGATATGAATTGAAATTTTTTCCACTTCTGAAACTTACGATAGATACAGTATTTAGAAAATCGTTTTAGAACATCGTAAGCTTTTCACATTTTGTTGCAACTACAATGGAAAGAATGGGAAATGAAATGAAATAAAATTATTGGGAAAGACTTAAAACGTATTGAAAAATTTCAACCAGATCAATCAGTAAATAAACAATAAGGTCAATGAAATATTTAATTAAACAAAAAATATAATGCTTGCCGACATCCAGAAAGAAAGTAAATAAAGATGCTTCTTCAAGGAAATTGAAAAGAAACGTGATTTGGTTTTAAAGTTCAAACGAACAATTAAAAATGGAGGAGAGACTTAATACTATATTGCATTCCCATATGAATTCAATTAATTTCAATTCGCTCGAAGAGAACCTTTTTCGAAAGCTCGGATTGAAAGATATTGAATGTTTAGATAGTCCTGACAATGGTTTGATTAACTACTTCTTCCTTTCAAGCGTTAAATTACTTATATGTCCTTCAGTGAAAAAAAAAAAAAAAAAAAAAAAAAAAAAAAAACTTAGTCAGAAAATGGAATATTGTGTAATGCAATGCTAAAAACTCCTCAAGAACTCTCGTCATTGAAAGCTATCCATTACAGACCCCAAACAAACTCCCACCTGGAAAAGAAAAAATAAGACGAAGAAAATAATAGTAAAATCAAGCCTCAGTCAAAACCTCTTTACTAAATTGAAGAGTTTGTTGAAAAAAATCAAAAACTAGTTATTTATGAACATATTTAAAAATATAAATTGCTTCCATGTTAATATGAGTGGCAAAAAGGGTTAAGGCAAAGAAGGCATCAGAATTAAAGCCTTAAAGAATGAAAACTTTGTCTAACTAACCGTGATTCTAATTATAGGTGAAGACACACTACATGAAAATTCAAGGAAAATTTGCTAGAAAGATATCATTCTGATTGTTCAGTTTTATCTGCAAAGGTTGTACAAGTGAGAGTAGCTTAAGGTTCTGTTTCATTGTATACATAAGAATTGTATGCATTGCTTGCATAATCAGTTTGAAAAGTTTCATCATACCTCAGGATTATCTGAATATTTTCTAGCATTTTGTATTCACTATTATTATTAACGAAAATGAATGGTATTGGTTGGAAAGCGCGATAATTACAAGTTTCTAGCAATTAACATTTCAATTATTATTTAGAATAAACGCTGATAATACTTTTTGCTGTAGATTCTGATTACGTAAAGGCCAAATTAGAACAGTCATTCCAAAGTAAGTTGAAACAGAATTTATATCAACGCTATGCGTCTTTCATTTTAACGCTTTAAAGAATAACTTATGTATTTCAACATTTGAGTTGATATATATGGATGTGTGAGTGTGCGAATAAATACAAAGTAAAAATCAGTTCAAAACGTAATCTAATTGTGCTCTGAAAGCAGTAACAAGTGATGTATTACCAGCCCATCAGCGGCCGAGCGGTAAGGTCGCTGAACAATGGTAGTTCGGTCCGAGGTTCGAATCCCGCGAACGGGCTGGTTCCATGGGTGTTTTCGTGGTTTTCCCCATGTGTAACGTGTATACGAGCCAGTTGCCCTTAGAAAGCCCTCCACGAAGGCATCCCTTCCCTTAAACAGATAGCTTCCGAGGCTTTGCCGTAATTAAATTAAATAACCTGATGTATTACCACTACTTAAATACGATAGTAATAAATAATTTAAAACAAATAAATAATGCTTTTAAAATTCTTCCCATGTTTAAATCGGAAAAAACCATATGCAAAAAGTAGGAAATAGAAGCACAGTGGTAAACTGCGGAAAAAGGGAACGAAGCATGCCAAAATCAAAAATCAGCTAAGAAATTTTCAAACTTTATCTGTCAATAGCGGGATGGGGAAGCAAAATAAATAAGTAAATTAGCCTGTTTCTGAACCAATAAAGGGACAAATTAAAAATTGAAACTTATAATAAACTTGTAATAAAACTTATAATAAAACTCGGAAAAAATCAAATTTGCATCTTTTTATTTTTTCAACCCCTACAAGTCGAAGAGTAAAAAATTGCAAAATTGTAGTATCAAAAACATAAGCAAATTAAAAAAAAATATTTTGAGCAGACGAGTCCAATAAATGAAACATATATATATATATATGTTACCGTGAAAGACCGAAATTGGAGAATGTCGACTTTCACCGGAGAATGTCAACATTCACCAAATATGTCGCTGAAAGCTGGAATATTTCTTTACATTCTTGTACATTCGGACCCTCACCGGTATATGTTGACAATCACAGATATGATCTGGTGTAGGTCGAAAAGAGAGGAGTATATGTATACGCTGCCATTCCAAAAGGAAGTGTTCCACAAATAAATGCAGTTGTAAAAGCAAGGGCCTCTTGTGCAATTTAAAGTGTCATAATAGTTTAAGTTGTTGCAATAAATAAGATTTGAATCACATAATTTGGTAAGTTTATAACTTCTATTATTTTCCTTTCTCATTTTTAATGTACTGTGTGTTTTAAGTTTTTATATTCTTAAGTTCTTATTCTGAGTTTCTGCGTTTTTTCGCGAATGTATTACGGAGAAGGAAATATAATATACTTATATGTTCAACATTCACCATTAGTACACGGTGAATGTCGACATTCACCGGTGTAAGTCAGAAATAAGAGTATTTGGAAAATATTTCGGACATACACCAAGCGACTATGCGAATGTTGACATTCACCGGTGAAAGTCGACATTCTCCAAATTTTGGTGTTTCACCGTAACATATATATAAGATGAAATATGAAAGAAAATTATTAACTTTAGTTTGCCAATAATTCTTGTAATTCCTCTTTCCTCGTCTTAATTTACATTTACTTCTCATTTAATGCATTCTCTTTCTGTCTTGAAAGCAGAAATTGTTTATAATATTGTTTATAGTACGTTTCTGAACAGCGTCTTCTAAAATGAATTCGTTATATGTTTGCTTATAAAATCATGTTGCGATGCGGAAGGCTCCTATCCAATTAGATTAAAGAAATTTTTGACTATACTGTATCTCACCCTTTGCTAGTAGCATACTGCGCTTCCCACTATGCTCTTTCTTCTGCTAGCATGCAATGCTCTATGCTCCGTTGCCTTCTCCATTGCCTAAAGATATAAGTTCTACAAAATTATGGGTTGCATAGGTCACCCAATAATGATTATGTCCAAAGATGAATATGTGTCGTATCAAGGAATAAAACTATGTGTTTAATTCATAGTCATGTCTGTCTTCAAATGTCATTCTTCTAACTATGCAGTAGAACCTCTCCAAATTATTAAAACCATCGCTAGTCCATTGCAGCAATTTCCAAATCCTTCCATAACATATAGTATAAACATATATATAAACATATATATATTGTTTCATCAGAATAAATTGAATTTAATTAAAAAATTAAATTTAAATACATATTTAAAGACTTCATTAGTATTTTCCTTTTTGAACTTTAATTCTTAAATGTTAATACTTTAAATGTTAATTTCTAAGGATACCACTTTATTGGAATTACTTTTGGTTTTGACTTTTACGCTTGCCTGCATGAATGACGAAACACGAATTGAATGATTGGAGAGTTAGGTTTGGAGGCAACTTCCCCTTGATAAGTCTGTCTCCTGCCTACTCTACGGTCATTCACTTATGCATTTTTTAAAAAAATTGTTTAATTTAATTTTAATTTATTAAATTAGTAGATTTATTTTCATGGATAGATTTTGCACTTGATTTGCTTATGCTTCTGAATTTAAATGATATTGTAGATTAGTTCGAGAATTAAATCTTTTACATGTTTGCACATTTTTTTAAAAATTATTTTAAATTATTTTGGCTTTTTTCCTATTTTTTTAGAATTTAAATTTGCTTTTTTTACTTTTATACGTATTTGTTAAGAATTTAAATTTGTTTAAATTTAAACATATATATATATATCTAAAACTAACAGTATAAGAAGAAAAGTATACCATTTTGTCTCATTTATAAATACATAAATAAATGAATATTTTCTTTTTTATTTCTCAGACCTTGTTCTCGTCAAACAGAGAACTGGACAATCTACTTTTAAAATTAATAAATTGTAGGTAAAGATAATTACCTGAATATGTTGGCTGTGGCAAAAAGTCCCTCTGCAATTAAAATTGGATCCCAAGCGTCCCAATTTTCTCTTGGTAAATGAGCAGTTCCCGTATTCAACATAATCTCTTTCCTCACCTGAAAATATGCAATAATAAAATCACGCTGTAATGATGCAAGACCAGTTAATGTATTACACTTTTTTGTCAGTCTCCTAAAGATGGATGCTAAATTTCAACATGAAATGCTCCCATGGTAAATGAACTTTTCAGATTTACCTATACGCTATGTAAGAACGTATTAAAAATAACCCGTTGAAATACCTTCTTGAATGCAGGATGAGTGGGAAAAGGAATACAAAATTTAAAGACCAACTTTCTTGAGAAGTTAACTTTTGTCTTAATATTACTGAATATACATAATCAATTTACATTAAAATGTACATTTTTATCAATGCAGAATTTAAAGACAAATTTTACTCGAATGTCATCGTTTGCCCTAGATTAGTGAATGCACATTATCGATTTATGTTAAATGTCTTACATTATTACTTTATTTTAATTGATAAAGGCCTTCTCAGAGAACGAATGATTACATTCTGGAAGAGAAGTCTTTGAAGTCCTCTACTAAAAATATGACTTAACAAATTCTCAGCTACAAAGTGCTTGTCTCTCATTTTTCAGCATATTGAAGTAAGCAGATTTTACAATTTGATTAGAAAGTTTTCCTTTTATTGAGCTACTTAAAATTCTTTATAAACCTCTAAATATAGAGAATCTTTTAGAGTAATCATGCCACAAATTAAGCCATTTGGTCTCAGGCTTGAAATCGCTTAATAAATTTAATTGGATCTAAATGAAATTTTTCTTACATTTTTGAAATTCTTACAATTATTCATATTGCTTATCTTTATATATATAAGCGGCTAAAGTGTGTGTCGCCGATAGTTTATTGTTGCCACTAGGAAAAAATGAGCGCGGAAATCAACGTTTCCGCATTTTTAATTAATATCTCGGTCAATTAAAGTCGTACGAAGATGAGAACGATATCGATGGATTCGGAGATTTTTTTGGAATCCGAGGATACGTGTCTCGAATTTCAATTCGGCGCTGTTCCGTAGATATTCGAGAAAAAAGAATTTGGCACTTAGTCAAATTCCTCTAACAGGGAAAACCCAAGAAAGAAAGTGGAGAATGTAGGGAAAACGTAGGGGAAAATTAGTTTTTAATTAATATCTCGGCTAATTAAAGTCCCAAGAAGACGCGAATGGTCAAAATGGCGTGCCACGGACCTGCGGAATCCAATGGTGTGCTTCGTTAAGCCTGGGAGCCAGCCGTTATTTCAATGCGGCTTGTCTGTTTGTCGCCGACAATTTATTGGTTGCTTGAGTAACTATACTAGCCAATGGTGTGAAGTTGCCACGGCACAGGGTTACCGTTTCAATTGAGACGTAGACAATCTCCTGCAAAACTTGCCTTTGCTATGACCATCAATAAGTCTTAGGGCCAAACGCTTAAGCGTGTTGGCATTTTTTTTTTTTTTTTACCTAAGCCTGCATTTGGACACGGTCATCTTTATGTTGCCTGTTCAAGAGTTTGTGAAAGAATGGACGTAAAATTAAAAATAATTGATGGTCCTCTGCAAGGCGAGATAAAAAATGACGGAAAGATCTACACAAGAAATATTGTGTATACAAAGAGATCTTTGACATGAGAATTAACATTTTATTATTTAAATCACCTTTATTTATTGAGCTCTTAAGAAATGTACCGCCATATGGTTTCATCATTGCACTCTACTTTGAGCAATTAAGCAAGTAGAAGGGGGAAACTCCATTGGGCAGTAAGGAAACTAGCGTCTCGCCGCCTGCCCTGGGTAATTCATTTTGTATTAGCAGACACCTTTGAACAAATCATTTTAATTACAATTTATAATATTTAGAATAGCCGTCGTTTTGTATGACCGCCGGGCTTTCAAGTATCTTATATAAATATTTGTGAGATAAGACCGAAAAAATTATTTCCATTTTGTATATTCCGAGTGACTTAATGAATCCTTGATTAGACGTTAAAAAAGAAAAAGTTATAACAGCTCAGAAACCAAACAAATAAATAATATCACATATTTTAATATTAATAAAAACCTCGCAATATTTAAAAAAAAATGTGACAGATTCATATTCATCAGAAAAGCTAAAAATATATGCAAAAAAGGTTTTTTAAGAAAGGGCAGCCAGCCATATTCTAATACCGCAGAAATTTGTCAGTTTGGATTCCGATAAAGGGAAAGTGCTTCTGAAAGAAATCAACTGCATCTCAGTAGAAAAACTTTATTCCTTTAACTAGATCTATGAGATTGAGATTTAACCTATTTGAAAGTTGCTAAATGGAAATTAAGAAAAGGACAAAATAAAAATATTAATTCAGCAATGAAGAAAGTCTTATCTATTTTTTTATTAATCAATCACGCTTCTAAATCATCATTTCGTACTAATCTTTGGCCCACCAGCAGCCGAGCGGTAAAATCGCTGAACACTGGTAGTTCGGTCCGAGGTTCGAATACCGCGAACGGGCTGGCTGCATGGGTGTTTTCGTGGTTTTCCCCATGTGTAACGTGTATACGAGCCAGTTTCCCTTAGAAAGTCCTCCCCGAAGGCATCCCTCCTTCTTAGGCAGATAGCCCTAGTGTGCTTTGCCGTAATTAAAACACACCGTACTAATCTTTGGCCTCAGCATACAAATTAGTTTCCGATCTGTTATAGTTGTTATCTGACTAGAAGCGACCGAGAATCATTTAAAAGTTATGACGAATCAGTTAAAAGAAAACTGAAATCTTCCTAAAATTAAGTAAATATTATATAAAATGTTAAGAGTAATTTTAAATATCTTAATGATATCATGTATGATATCACAAATAAAACATTTATTTGAATATTTAGAGAAGCAATCCTGATATAGAATAGAACAGGCGTAGAAGGCCATTGAGAGCCATTACAAATGATAACTAAATCAAACTTTCCGAGAAACTGTCCTGTAGTGTTTCTTAGTAAATTATCATATACTGAGACACCAAGAATTATATGCCAAGCGAATTCCTTGTCAATTAACAGCTGATTGGAAAAAATAATTCGCATTTTGCACTCAGAGGTATTGACAGCATTTGAATTGCAAACACTTTACTAATCTTTGTATCGTTACAGCTTTGCAAGCCCAAGATTAAAAATCACTTAGTTCAGAAGTAGCCATCTCTCTGTATCAGATTAAACGAATTCTAAAGCCAGTAGTGAGATAATACTAAAAATCGCGATGAATGACTTTTAGGATAACAGTTATTTTGTTTAATTTCTTCTCATAACTCTAGCTGCATTGCATCCTCAGAAAAGTTAAAAAATCTAAAAATAGGCGGGGGCGGGTCCTTCAGAAACAAACAAATGCAGTTCAGCTAAAACCACAAGAAAGCAAGATACCACGTATGTTTTTATATAAAAGTGTAATATAGCCTCAGTGTAGTAGTGTCACTAAGTCAAGTAGTGGCATTAGTACAGTGAGACGTTCACATATTTCATCTAAATAAGAAAAAAAAAAAAAAATTCGAAGACGGAGCTCGAAAATGGTGTATTGCAAAGAACTATTACTAGTTGGAGAAGATCTGGTCCAAAGATTCCAACGGGGTCCAGGTTGGGTTTCGCTAGAAGTTTAAAAAGGGTCTATAGTGCTCTAGGGAACTATTGGATGTCGCTGATATATTTTTCCGTTTTAAAATTTAATAAATGTTTTAGGAATGTAATTATTAAATAATAATATCCATTTTAATATGCATAAATACAGATTTGCATAGGGCGGAGCGATCCGCGCATCTAAAGTAGAATGTCATGACGCTTTTGTATATGTGTCGAATGACTCTGTCGGCTTTTATTTAATTTGAATGAATAAAAAAGCATATACTTTTAGGAGACATATTTTTTCATTTAATAATATGCAAAATAAATTACAAGAAAAAAGCGTAAATTTCATTCAGACTCGAACTTTGTCTTTGGGTTTCACTCCAAAATGGATTTGTTTATTTCCACTATAAATCAAAATGGTTTTGAACATGACATGCAACTTTCTGTTGCTGTAAAAGATAAGAGATGATGACATTCAAATCTACACTGATCACTTGAAACAATTATAAGAGGATATCAATAGGCGTCATTAAGATTTGGAAACTTTAGATATTCCGTCTTAAATTATTAATCCATTTTAAAGCGACACAACCAGTTTTTTTGTTACAAAAAGAATTGATTGAATTGAAGGAGAATTTGGAAGGTAAAAAAAATGAATTTTTTAAATAAGTCTTTATGCCAAATTTTGGAATTGTAAAGATATTCGCAAAAAATACGTCGAATGAAATATTCGTTTTTTGATTGCTACATACAATCATTTTAATTGCCCTTATTGAAATAATTTCATTGATATATTCTTCGTATTATAAGACGATCCCACCAGCGGCCGAGCGGTAAAGACGCTGAACACTGGTAGTTCGGTCCGAGGTTCGAATCCCGCGAACGGGCTGGCTGCATGGGCGTTTTCGTGGTTTTCCCCATGTGTAACGTGTATACGAGCCACTTTCCCTTATTAAGTCTTCCACGAAGGCATCCCTCCCTTTAGGCAGATAGCCCTCGTGTGCTTTGCCATAATTAAATAATCCAATTCGTATTATAAGTTTGAAATTTTTTTTTTCTTATAGATTTCAAAAATAAAAAAAATGTTCATATTATTTTATAATGTCTAATCTTAGCTAACCTGTTTTTAGTCTTTTGTTGTACTTCATTTCAACACTATCCAATAGATGCAAATCAGTAAAAGGAAACGTCAAACTGTGAGCAGTTTCGTAAGTTGGCCAAAATTCTCCTCTAATAACGTTGCCGTTAAGATAAAGAAAAGGATTGGAAATAGTGTTTAGACTATTGACTTCTACTAATGACGTGAAATGAAACTCAGATTTATAGAAATGAGATTATATTTTTAAAGTTTAACATATTCTGGGGAGGCAATGGCCTTTTTATTTGTAGTTTCTGTTATTAATTTATATTGTACAGGTTCTGAAGGTAATCCGGTTTATTTACGAGTTTTTCACCAATAACAGTTCTTCAGGTATGAGTCAAGGAACGCAAGTAACTTTAGTTTTTTAATATTACTTAAATATTAAAATTTAGATTGCTTTCAAGCTTGAACTCTACAGTTTAATTTATGTAAATAAGTGAAGTAAGAAATTAATTAACATATTTACTTGTCAAGAACTGCTGCAAAAGTTCTCCGAAAAATATGGCTAACAGCAACCTTTTTTAAAAAATCCTTTGTTATAACATTATTTTTAATCTTGAAAAATATTAACTGTCTTTTGAAATTTTTGGTTTTAAATAATGCTATCAAAAACAAATCGACATCATAAACAACTCCAAAGTACAATAAATATATTGAGCAAATGTTTTAGTATACATTTTAATTACTAAAATCAGAGGCATAATGTAATTTCCGATTTGTTTGAAATGAATCTAAAATTCTGTTAGATATCATGATTCTTTATTTTAAATGAAAAGTACCTATTTTATTTCAATGAGAGCGAATACATTTAAATGAGCATAAAAATTCAAAATCATACCTGAAAATACACAACTATTCTAAGGGCTATCGTTGCAACGTAAAGGGAGTTTGTTATAAAATCTATAATGTTCCACATATCTGCAATGTATTCCATAAGGCCAAGTTCCCATAACTGCTTGATTTCACTCCATATAAGTCCTAAAATAAAATAAAGCATTTAGATACATTATCTAACAATATTACTATAACATGAATTCAATTTTGTCTGAATTTAAAACAAATATAATTCGCATTGATGCAAGAAGCCTACTTTATGACATGTTCTCATGCTCGACATATATTTTTCTCTAAGTCTGTTAATTGTTTTGGCAAAACATGCGAAAGTTATGTATCTAAGAAAAGGAATGCCTTAATGGAAGACTTGTCTAAGAAACACTGGCTCGCGTTTGCATTACATAAAGAAATATTACGAAATTGCTCATGCATCCTTTCGAGGAAATTTGAACCTATGCCTAGGTACTCATGTTCCGCGGTCCACCTCTCTTTCTGTCTCTAATCATTTCCAGATTTGTATTTTAAATCAAAGAAGCGTAATTCGTTTTTCACTAAAAGTTAAATGTAGCATTTTATTAATCCTAATATTAATAACAGAATTAATAAAAATGTTTGAATCATTGCAAAAATTAACAATCTGTGCTCTAAATATATTAAATTTGTAGAATATTTTGTAATTTTCTGGGAAAAACTACTTCTACACACAATAATATACCAAATTAATAGTCAGTTGAAGATTTAAATAATAAACACAATATTATTACGGAATACCAAGATGCTATCATATGATTATCAACTGGCCAATTTTCACTACATTTCAGATAGACTTACTAGAAAGTGACACAGAGACACGAAGTAAATAAATATTGTTTGCAAGACTGCTAGAAATTTTCGATTTATATATGAGTCTTCTGAAGGAAAGCTCAATAAAACGCGGTATAAAATGGAAAGCAATAAGCAAAACGCAGGGAAACAAGGTATACTACCGTTCTTTGTTTCTGAACCTATTCCTACCTCTTTAGTTAGCTTCTTGAAGATTTGGTATTAGTTCAGCTTTGATTGGCCAAATTTATGGAATATATAACCTAAAAAATTAATATTCTTATCAACAATTACAGTTGGCATTCGCCATACTGATTTGTTCCATTCAGCTAGCTAAAGAATGCTTCGGATAAATGATTGATTTATACCAAAGCAATGGTGGCAAGAATTTGTATTCTAACATGAGATGTATTGTGATATTGACTATCAAGTACATAAAAAGAGAAACAAAATTAAGTCTCGGGTAGAGAATGCAACAACTAACCTACACACTTATTGAGTGATTAATATAGATGCTAAAGCAAGATGGTGATATTCTTGAAGGCACCAGCTGCACAGAATGTTAGCAGAATGGTCATTAGCAATAAATCATTTTCCGACATGGATCTCGTGATTCCTAAAAGGGCGTATTAATCAGAACGATAGCCAATCTGAACGATTGTCATTAATCTAAGCTACAATTGCCAAATTTAAGTTAAAATACGTAACACGCCGAATAACTATTATTGAGGAGATAAATCAACAAGAATCAGAGCAATATTCATAAATTTTCACTATTCTTAAATATAGAAATTTCATAAATTTACGCAACAGTTAACGATTCCAATTCCAATCCGTTTTTACCCTCAGCTGTTAAAGAAATTATTTAATAGTTGCTTTCATTTTTTATCAATCCCAGTAGCTTGACTTCTTTCCTGTCGCTCTTATCGGCTTGTCTTATCATTAGCTCCCTGTTTGTCATTTGCGTTTCTGCAGCTGAAGCAGAAGATTCTACATTTTAATACTCGAAACTATTTCTGCAAATTTATGAATATAACACTGTTTCTTGTTGCTTTAACTCCTCCAATAATACAATTGTTAGACCCAAACAGTAGTTATATGTAATGACGAAAGAAAATCTTTTATATATCTCGAAGATATTTCTAAAATTCACAGCAGTTTCAAACACATCATGGATAGAGAAGCTACTCATTTCATTAGAGCATTTCCTGAAGACAAATTTTTAGCACGGTAAAGTGCTATGTTTCTAAGACTCCCAAAGCGAAGATGCACACAAATAAATAAAAATTGAAATTTTATAAAATATGCATTTCAGAATTGTTTTCCTTTAAAAATATTAATTTCTTTACTTCCTATTTATTTTGCATTTTCTGCCTTTCTGACTTCATATTACCTGAAAATATCGCGTTCATTCATATTTTAACCGAGTTTATAAACAATAAGCTTACGCAAAATTTCGAAATAAATAATGCAATACCATTTGCAAGATATCTTGTCTTCACTTGCTTAAAATCTATAGCCCTTTCTATCAATTTAATAAGAGATTTCGTGTAAAAATAATAAAAACATTTTTCTTAAAATTTTAAAGCAAAACCTAATTGAAATACATTATCAGAATTAAAATATTTTTCAAACGTCAGTATTTTAATATCTAAACAGAAGACAAACACGCCAGAGTGAAGCTTAAAATTATTGAAGAAACAACTTTATATTTGTCTAAATATACCCCAAATACAAGATTATTTCTTTAATAATTTTAAAATGTAATATGTATTTAAAAACACAAGTACCGAATGATTTTTAAAAGATTATGGTAAAATTTGAATAGAATAATGCATTTATAAAAAGTTTTCTAAAGTCTCCTCTAAAAGTAGAACACTCTTATTTATAATTTGTGAAAAGAAATTTTCTGATGTTTCATTTTTAATATCTGGTTATAATAATAACTTTCCGCTCAAAATAACGTTCTTAATAAATTTAGGAAAAAATATGAAAAAAGCAATACCTTTAGTGCGGATAGTGTTCACCCCCCAAATCTACGATTTTCTGCCAAAGTTTTAAAAGCCTTCGGCCCAGAAACTCGATGGCCGCTAGTGCAGAAACCGATCAACCTCATTTCGGACGTCTTGTTCAGAATATGTAGATGCAAGCAAAATATAGCTGCAAGTGTAAAAAAATGTAGAAGTCCGAAGGCGCGATATCAGGACTATATGGTGGGTGTGTCAAAAGCTTCCATTCGAGTTTGTACAGAGTCCGCCCAGTGAATACAGACACATGTGGTGTTGCGTTTTTCTTGATGGAACAACACCTTTTTGCACCGGAACTCAGACCGACGTTTTTCCTTAATAGCTGCATCAACACAGACTATCATCTTACTGTACACCTTACTGTCGAGGCCTTTAACCTTTTTCCAGTTACTATTTGTGTATAGCAGTTCCACCAGATAAAGAGCTTGATCTTTTGTTAGTCAAACTGCGCTTTGCGACTCTGCCGACGGGCTCACCGGGCGCACACTAACCCCCTTTTTCGGCCCGTGTTGTTGAATTAAATCAACGTTTCATCACAAGTGACGATCCAATCCAGAATTTTGTCCTCGCTTGATATTCGAGCAAATTATATACCTCCATCTACAAAATTGTTTAAAATGACACAAATATTCCTGTTTTGCTTCTTTTTTTGTAAACCCAAAGAAATCTCTTCCGTAAAAATCGCAAAATCTATTTTTTTATATGTTGCTGTGGTCCCTACTCTTGCTGTTATGAAAATTTTATGCTCATTATTAAAAATTAAGCACAAAACAATTTGTCTTCCATAAAACAAGAATTGATCCAGATATTTAATTTCAAAATTTGATATTTTATGTCATTTTCAATTTGTATTGAGATGTCTGTTAATAAATAAATTAGAATAATTAAGCTGATTTTTTACCTTTGAATGTCATTCAATTATATGTTTGTTTTTATATTGATCTCCATTTTGATAAAAAATATATTGTTAATACATTTACTAATAATCCACATAGAAACGCGAGTCAATGAAACTTTTATTACCAGAAATCCTTTTCTAAACTGATATTTTATATTTAATTACGTACAAATGCCAAATTCCTTCCGTCTTCAATGTGTATACGCCACAGAATATGATCTTCGACTTTGATATCATATATATCGGTCAGTGTCTGTCGTACAGGAGACATATTTTTCGTGTCTTTTCATAACGAGTATAATATTTTCCTATGTGTAAACATAGAGACTGGGAGAATGTGACTAAAAATAAATTTGGATCAAACTATCAATCTTATTTATATATTTATTTTTTATGTATTAACACTTGGATGTGAATTTTTGAATTTTTATCTTTTAATAATATTAACTGGAATAGATTTCGAAGTTTATAAAACGATTCGATAATTAACTTGTAGAGACATTAGTTATTCTTTTGAAAGCAAGAGAGATTGAAAAATGAATAACGCCTTCGCCAGGAATCGAACCGCGGACCTCTGGAATATGCGCCCAGCGTGCAGACCACCACACGACGAAGGCACGTTAAGAAGGTAGGAGAAATACCTTATAAACTCCAAAACAGGTTTTTTTGAAACCACTGCGAAATTAGAAAAATTGGATTGTTGTCATATAAAGATAATGAACTAAACTGAAAACGGACACTCTCCTGATGAACTCCGTACACAGAGCATTTGGCAATCATTACTGAAGTTTAAATAACGCTAGTTGCTTAATATGCATCACCTTTCGCCTGCTGTCACCTACCTAACCATTGTCCGCTGCTTTGCAATGTCTTCTATTGTTTAAGATGTGATATGCATGTATATGATTGTGGGATGCAGATTGCATGCTTTGTGCTACGTGATGTCTTCAGAGTGTATTTACAAAGAATTGTTTATATCCTGAAAATAAAATGACGTTTTAACCATCAAGCTAGTTGTCTTTTTCTAAATACTATACAACAAATTCAGACTATCTTTTGTCGCGTGAGAGTTAACATCCTTCCCCACACTGCCCAACATTGGAAAATAGGTGTCTCGTAAGTTCTCATCATCGTATGATTAAAAACATTACAAAATCTAAAATCTGCTGTCACCATCCTCATCACGATTAGGACGCAACTGATACTCTCAGGGTATCATTTCCAAAATATTACCTATATATATATGTATATATATATATATGTATATATATAATAAAAGCAAGGTAAAGCCGGAACACTGTTGATGCGCAATACCCAGATAAGATAGATCGTTCATCCATATTCAAGAGAAAGAAATCTGATTTGTATAGTATGCTAATGTTTTGAGTTGTTAATATCTAAAACCCTTGGCAGTCGACGCGGTTTCAATTCCATTTTTATTTTCCAGTTGACGTTTGTGGCCACAATCCTTTGGCACTCTAGCTGTGCCTATTCAAGAACGTTTACATTTTTGATATTATTGCAATAGGAAGCAGCATAGCGAAATTGCGTCCAAGCAAAGCAGAGAGAGAAGCTGAAGTGCGTATTTATGCAAGAACACAAAGAGAAAGGTTTTGGTTTGAGTTAAAAAGTTTCACTTTCCAATTATTACGGCATCACCTCTGCGCAGGCCATGGAAAAGAAAATGACTCAGTTCAGAGACGTTATTACGATTTTTAGAACAGAGAGGGAGAATTAAAGAGGTTACCATTAATTTAAATTATAATTTTGATTCACATATTTTTTATCTTACACACACATATATAGATATAGGCAATATTAGTCATATATGTATATATAACTAATTAACGTAAATTTATATTATATAAAAATGTTCCTATTCAAGGATTAAATAGATGAGTTCATGCTTTTAGTAAATTTTAAAATGCAATGAATATTCATATTATAATCAAGTTTATATATTGGAACATTCTGGATTGAAGATATCTACTCGCCATTGGGTATAAAGACATAATACCTGTAATGTACGATTGAGTTTTAAATTAATGGATGTCTTAATTTTTACTTACCCATGACCCAAGCTAGTATCATCCACTCAACTACACTAGGTGGCGCTCCTCGCTTTGTGGTCACGCTTGACTTCATTTTCTTTTTCATTTCATCGGTTCCAAACCAATCAACAATGACTGTTTCGATCCTTTGAGATGCAAGAATTAACAAAACTGCGAGAAAAGATCAATATATTTTTATCAAATAAGATGTAAGATAAAAAAGAATATTTACCTGTAATGGGAAATGCACTGCTCCCGCGTTATAAGGTCACATATATAACAAAAATATTCCTCAGAGGAATAAAAATCGGAAATTTATATAGCATGAGAAAAAATATTCACAGATGTAATTTCTAATTTATTTCAAATGCCAGTTTTATACTTTCGATCAAACTGTGAAAGAAAAAAGTAATCAATACTCTTAAAATCTGTATGCATTTATGTGCTTGTTTATGGCACTATGAGTTTCGAGAGAGGTATCCCCGGATTGCAAAATTCGTCGGAAGCTGTTTCGACCATTTGCATCCTCAGGCGGCTTTAATCAGTCGAGATATTAAAAACTCTGAAAACAGTAATTTTCCGCACTCATTCTCTTTTTTGATATCCTCTGGATTTAACAAATTGGAAATTGCCCGTGACAAAAAGTCTGCAACATAATTTTTTCAAAGAAAAGGCTTTAGCGATAACACGATAGCGAAATAGCGATGCAGGAATCCATTCAGTTATGTTTAACCTCTTTTTATGTAAATTATAATAATGATTTGAAATAGTTATTTATACTCTTATGCTTCCATTCAGTTATGTTTAGCCTTTTTTATATAAATTATAATAATAAAAAAGTATTATATGAAATTAACCTTTCATATAAATTAAAGCAATGATCTTTAGATAGTTTTACTATTATACTTCCTTTCTTGCGTTAGGGTTACCGCAATTATTTTTGGCAGCACTGGCATCAACAATAGTTTGGGGATTTTTTACGGTCCTCAAAACGGAATAGTACCAAAATTTATAAGTTTTTACAAAACATGAAATAAAAATAGCATTGCCAAATATTAAATATATTATTATTATTATATAAGGTCATGTTCTGATGTTGAAAAAATCAAGCGATGTCATGTGATCGCATTGTATGTTGAAAGTTTTTCGTTAATGTCCGCATTTTAAATAAATAACTGCCGTTGGCAACTTTTTGTTTCAGATTTAAGATAATTGACATGGTAAATTATTGTTACTGTTACGAAATGTCCAGGCGCGGTAAGATAGCTTCCCCGCAAAGCAGGTTTAGGGTTGCCATAAAATGGCATGGAAAGTCAGGGTTGCCACATTTGGCGACAAAATTGGCGATATACCATGGACGGATGGAGAACCTTCTGGAACGAATTCTTACCGGTTTAGCCCAGAATGTTCTCGAACACAAGCCGAAAGTTATATAAACCCTGCTGGTACGAGAAAGATGATAAAATGGAATCCAGTAATGAGGATAATGAAGGATTTATTTATCCTAAAAAGACCGCTACTCACATACCCCCTATTTTGCTCCAAGATTGTACAGCAAATTGGGATAAAATGAAAGAAGAATTCGAATCCTTAGGTGTTAATAAAATTAAAGGAAACTTCGTAGGAGACACACATACCATTCGAGTCTTTGACCAAGAAGATTATAGGCTTACTACGAAGTTACTGACTAAACGCTAAATTCAGTATCATGCCTTTAAATTAAATAAAGAAAAACCTGTTAAAGCAGTAATTAAAAAACTGCCCAGAACATCGGACGTAGAACTTATCCGCAAGGAAATAGGTGACATGGGCATTTCTGTGCTAAAGGCCAAACAAGTTCAGAAATACATTAATGGGCAGGTGGTAAAACTGTCTGTGTTTGTGGCTGAAGCGAAACGTTCCCAGGAAGGGAAGAAAATTTTCGACATTAAAACATTTAAACGGCTAGATGTTATGATATGCACCTATAAAAGCCGCCCTGGCCCTGCGCAATGCCACAGGTGCCAAAGATATGGGCATATAAAAGATCGATGTAACTATAAACCGAGATGTCAGAAGTGTGCGGGTCACCTCGAAGGTTACACATGTAAGCAGGATAAATCAAGCCTCCCAGCTCGCTGTGCCCTTTGTGGAGAAGGACACGTATGTTCTTATAAAGGGTGTAAAATGCACCCGAAAAATCTTCAAAAAGAAATTATAAAACGAAAAGAAGAAAGAACTTGAAAGAAGCAAAAGAAATTTCAGCTTAATAAGGAAAATTTCCCGCCCCTTCCAGTCCCAGTTCCTACAACCAGTACGAGAGCGGTTTTGTCCGACGATAAATCAAGGAAAGAATCACCCCCCCCCGAAACTACCAGAGTGCAAGCTGCTGCCTCCGCTGGTGGAGAGGAAAGGAAAGAAGAAGAGCCGCCGTCCTTCTTTACGTTGGTCAGGCAACAACTGCAAAAAGCGAAAAAATTCCTCACTAGTTTCAAACAATCAAGAAATTTAATGACTAAAATCGAAGTCGCTATGGCGGTTATTGAATATTTCACCTCCATAGATCATGACTTTTGAGACAACTCTGGACAATAGTAAATTGATTGCAGCTACCAATAGTTACCTCAAAGTGGCTTATTTCAACGCTAACGGTATTGCTAAGCAGAAAGAAGAAATTAAAAACTTCCTTTACAAATTTAATTTGGATGTTATGTTAATTAACGAAGCAAATCTGCGAAACTCCAATAAATTTTTTATTCCTGGCTAATCAGTCATCAGACAAAACAGAGTACATAATAGAGGAGTAGGCACAGCCATTATCATCAAATATAACTCATACGAACTTCCTAATACTGGCAATATAGAAAAAACGGCTGCTATTATCTACAGCAGTCTTAACGAAGCTTTTTTATCCATCTCGGTTTACAACTCCCCAAGTAACATGCTAAATAATACTGATCTGGATTACTTAACCTCTGCAAATTTACCGACAGTTATTGCTGGAGATCTTAATTAAAAAAATACCTGCTGGAATTCTAGAGTAAATAATAGGAATGGGCAAATTCTCAATAATTATCTAATTTCTCAAGATCTTAAAATTGTTGCCCCCTGCACCCCTACAAGAATTGACAATGAAGGTGCTGGTAATATCCTGGACATTGTATTCCTAAAGAATATTAGCCAAACTCCTCTTTTAGAAGTTATTAAAGATCTTTCATCGGATCATTTGCCGGCTATTTTTGATTTTTATGGGTTTTACCCTCCACTTCCCAGATACCGCACAAAAGTATATTGGATTGAATTTAATCAGAAACTCAGTAGTTACAGATGCAGGAATAGCTACCAACATTGTCACGATATAGAAGAAGAAATTTATAAAATTACTTCTGATATTCAAAATGCCATCAAAGATTCCTCCTACCCATGCAAAGGTAAGGATCTCCTACCTCTTCCTAGTCATTCAAGGATATCATTAAACAGTGAAATAGAGCCATTAAAAACTGGTAGCTTACGAGCACCTCAGAGATAAAACCCACTCAAATTACCTGAACCGAAAAATTAAGAAAGATATCCAAGATTATAAATCGAGAAAATGGGAATTCCTTCTGGAGAATATGGAGATAAACCCTAATTCTGTATGGAAGATAGCCAATTTACTGAAAACATCAAAATTCACTCTATTGAGCACGCAGGAAGTATTTACCACTCAGAGAAAAAAACTGTCGAGCTTATGGCTAACGAGCAAGCAAGGATCTACAGGCCACTCTCGTCTTCGGACTCAGAACATGAAGAACAAGTTCAGAATTACTATCTCAGTATTAATTATAGAAGCTTAACTCTGCCAATATTACCCCTACTATTCATAACGAGATTAAAATTATTATAAAACAACTAAAAACCAGGAAAGCAAGTGGATTTGATGCAATTAATAATGAAGCACTTAAAGCGTTGCCTCCCGGATGCGTAGCTAACATTACCAATATTATCAATGCATGTATTAGATTTAATTATTTTCCTCAACACTCGAAACATTCTATAGTTATTTTTATTTTAAAACCTGGTAAGAATCCCCCAAAAAATCAATAGTTATAGACCGATCAGCCTTCTCTCCGCTATGGGGAAAATTTATGAAAGAGTTCTTAATAAGTGCTTAACTGATCATCTGGAAAAGTACGACCTTATTGATAAATTACAATTCGGATTTAGACAAGGTCATAGTACCACTCATCAGATTTTAAATTTAGTGGAAATCATGGCTCTTGCCTTCCAAAAGAAAAATGCTGTAGCCGCCTGCTACCTCGATTTTGAGAAAACTTTTGATCGAGTGTGGCATGCTGGTCTCATTTTCAAACTCTCCAATTTTCTTCTCTCCTATGGGTTCATTAAAATTATCATTTCATTCCTCAAGAACAGGATATTTGAAGTCAGGATCGGAGATACTCTTTCTTCAAAGAAAAGAAATGTTTTGCGGAAACGCACAAGGAAGTACCCTCTCCCCAAAATTATTCAATATCTATTTTAATGATTTACCTCAACCTCTGAACTCTAAAGTATTACAATATGCAGACGACATTGTTGTTCTCTCTGAATCTACTAACCCGCAACATGCCCTGAATAAATTACAACTGTATGTTAGTAATATTGCACATTGGTGCAAACTGTGGAAAGTTAATATTAATGCGAATAAATGTTGCACTGTCTTCCACAGAAGATACAAGAAGAATATGCGTGTTAATGCAGACATTCTTATGAATAATATTACTATTCCACAAGCTGATGTGTACAAATATTTAGGAATCTTACTTGATAAACGTCTTACCACATACAGTATACAGCAAATAAAAGTAAAGCAGCCTTAATGGCCATTTACCCAATTATTGGAAGAAATTCAAAACTGAATCTGAGGATCAAGAAAATGCTTTATACTTCTCTCATCCGTCCTATGACTCTATATGCAGCCCCGGCATGGGCTATTGGCTTGAAATCAGAGGGAAAAAAACATGCTGTCTTACAAAATAAAATTCTAACAGCTATTACGAATGCTCCATGGTTCGTTAGAAACAGAGATATTCACAAAGATTTGGAAACCCGTCCTTTACTTACTCAAATGCTGATAAATGCTCACAAATTTTATGAAAGTATGAAAAACAGTCCTTATATCACGTTTAAAAATATCATTGACTATGACCCAA